CATAAAGGATACCCATGTGTATACATGTGTCAAAACTTTTAAAAATTATACACTTTCAATATTTATACCTGATTGTATTATTAATTACAACTCAATAAATCTTTCAAAAAGATGAAGTTGAGCTAAGGCAGTATTATAGGAGATGCACATAAAATATATGAGAGAGACAGAATCCTCAGGACTTGGTAACAGAAATGGGTGAGAGATGCTCCTTTATTAAATGAGGATACAAGTAAGAATGCTTACCCTCAAGCACTAAAGAATATAAACAGAAAATGCCTGTGATATGTGTTAAATCACTGCAGTGATGCTAGTTGTTCTGTAACTGGAGAAAAAGTATCTAAAGGAATCCAAGAGAAAGAAAACATCAATTGTACCTCTCCCCCAAAATGTAGCAACAATGGCTGAGGTAGTTATGTAAATGACCTGAAGATTCACTTAGCAAAATCATTTTTATATAGCTGAAGAAACAGAGAAACATATCTCTCACTGGGTTTATATAAAAGCAAAAAGGGGATACCAACTCTTTTATACCTGTCTGACTTCTGAAATGGTTTAGACAGAAGTCCAATGCCTCCTGCCCCTGCTGTGTTGAATCAACAGAGAGAAAGGCCAGTTCTGCTGGGTTTCTCTCTAAAAGCCTCCTGGTTTGCTAGTAATGCTCCACTGCCCTCTGTGAAAAATCCCATCCTACAAAGAATAGCACAGACAGAACTGGAGATCTTTGAGTTTATTTCATTATTTCCAAATTATTCTTTGGAACTGTTGCCAAACCATTTCCAGTAGAGAATAAACATTTTCTCAAGACAAAGTTCAGAGTCACACTGGAATACCAAGTACTTTTGCTTTTAGCTGGAATCATTTTAGTTAGGATCAAAATTGATAGTTTAAGATGTCTTTGATACATAAAAATGGGGAATGAAATTATTGCTTAAGTTTGGCAGATAGTGTCTTTTAAAATCTTGTGTCCAGGAAAGAAGAGAAAAAATAGTCATGATGCACTTTGTTTAGAAGAATGGAAGCCATGCTTTAGAGGAGAATCCTCTTAGGTCAGTCCTCCCACCACCCCTTCTAAGAGTACTGTTACTGTTTCACTGTCTCAAATATGCAAATAATTCTATTTCTCAAAGATTCTACAGAATCTACCTGGCATCCTTTCCTTGAAAGAACCACCATTCCCCTTACCTCACAGGGCCTTAGAGAAATTAGAAATTGCTGCTCCCTCCCCCACAGCCCCCTACATAAGCTCTCATTACCAATGCCTTACATAATAAATCTGTGATAAAAACTACCCTAATCTGATTTTCCCTCCACTACATCTCGCTGTTGAGCGAAGACACTTAGATGAAAAATGAATGAAGTAGAGACATCTGAGAGTAGCCAATTAGAAAAGGCCAATCCCCTAGAATCTGCTGCTGGGATCCCTGGAGTTCTCCCTTGTTCTTGATCATTCCTCAGCCCTGTTTGTTCAGCTCCTTCTTACTTAATTTTGTACAGCAAAGAATTTGGGTTTCTCTCTTTGTGCAACAAAGAATTGGGTGGTCTTTGTCTTCAAAGACACCTCAAATTTGGTGTCAATTTCTCTGGTGATAGTAACATCTTTGTTACTCATAGTGGGGCTCAGTGGATCACACTTGAGTTTGAGCTAATGAGATGACTCTGGATAGGGACTAGTTACCAGAAAGACCAACTGGGTGACTAGAGGATTGGGGCTTTGGACCAGGAGGTATCAGCCCAACCTTCGGAAAGGAACAGGGGTCTGGAGATGAAGAGCTGTTACGCAGCCAGTGATTCAATCAATCATGCCCATGTCATAGGACCTCAATAAAAACTCTGCACCTGAGGCTCAGATGAGCTTTCTCGTTAGCAAACACATCCATGATTAATGTGCTAGGAGGGTGATATGTCCAGATTCCAGGGAAATAAGACACAGAAGCCCCAAATGCAGGACCTTCCCAGACCTCACCCTATTTGTCTCTTCTTTTGTCTGGTCCTAACTTTTATCCATTCTAATAAGATTGTAATTAGAAGTACAGCACTTTCCTGAGTTCTGTGAGTCATGCAGTAAATTATCAAACCTGAGGGGATAGTGGGAACCTGTGATTTGTAGCCAGTCAGTCAGAGCAGGGGTGGCTGGAAACACCCAGGGTTTATGGCTGGTTGGTATCCGAAGTGAGAGCAGTCTTACTGAGGACTGTGCTCTTAACTTGTGAAGTCTGCACTATCTCTGGTTAAAAGAACTGCGTTACATTATTTCATTAAACACTCTCTGCCTCATTTTCCTCATCTGTAAATGCAGACCGTCATACTATTTATACTTCAAAGGGTTTTTATGAGAAATGAGTTAACATATATAAATTACTCAGAACAGTGCCTAGCAAAGTAGCTTCTTAGTTGTTGCTGTTTTTATTATTGAAGTCCAGAACTGGCAATTGTATTAATTATCAGACTTTTCTGTTAAAATCTAAATAACATGAAGGAAAGACTGGCTCTCAGTATCAGTCAGAAAATGTTAACAACTAATCACATAGATGGTACTGACGTTAGCCAGCTAATGTTCTGACACAAATGAACACTGCTGGTATCTATGTCATCTAGCAAAACTCAGACCAGCCACTTTGAGCCACTTCCAGAATATTACATGCTTTTTGTGGCTCTGGAAATCATCACTCCAGAGATTAAGGGCCTTGCTCTAAATAATGAAGCAAATTGTTGGGAGGAACAGTACACACGAAGATTCTTACTTTTAGCTTGTCAAACCACCAGGCATGACACATGGTGAGCAAATCCTAAAAGGATACATACGTGTCACTTGTCAGCTTAGCTGTGAGCTACATCACAGGGCACTAGAATGTTTCCCTGCTCATCAGTAATGGGAACCAACTCCTCAAAACTCATTCCATTGTCTTCCATCTTTCTGTCATTTAGAACACACTTGGAAGCGTTCCAATTGCTGAGCCCAGGAATAAAGTTCTTAGCAGAAAACTGTCTTGGCTGCTTTTTAGTATTATGATTTACTCCTTCTGTTTCTGCCCTCTCTTGGTCACTTTCCCTTCCCAGCTACTTGTGTATGAGCTTTCAGAGAAGGCCACAAATGTTCTCCCTGCCATCTTTCATTCCAAGTTCCCACTTATGAAACCTACTCTTAAAACCCAGGCGCCATGTCCTCAATGTTGTTACAGAAAAAGAAGAAAACTAAAATTAAACAGTACTAATAGGAGATTTTTCCTGGCAGTGCCCGTATAATTCCAAAGATCATTTCACTGTTTTATTTCTCATCAGTAAACGGCCTGAGTTGCTCAGGAGCTTTTAAACAAAGCCCCCACAAGGAACTCAGCTTTTAAAGATTTCCAGGAAGCTGTTTGTAAAGCTAACTTAAGCTTCTTCCAAATTGATAAAAACACAGAGTTAATAAGAACTGTCAGCCTGTTCATGCCAGAACTAGGACTAGAATCCAGGTCTTCTTGCCTTTGTTTTTTTTTTTTTTAAGTTTATTTATTTATCTTGAGGCAGAGACAGTGCAAGTGGGAGAGGGGTAAAGAGAGAGAGAGAGAGAGAGAGAAAATCCCAAACAGAGTCCACACTGTCAGAGTCTGATGTGGGGCTCTAACCCAAGAAGCTATGAGATTATGACCTGAGCTAAAACCAAGAGTTAGAAACTTAACAGACTGAGCTGCCCAGGCACCCGCCAGGTCTTGTTTTAAATCTAATGTTCTCTACCTACATTATAGATAATCCCTTCCAGATCTAAAATTCTATAATTCAAGGTAAAATTAAAACGAAAATAAAAACTGCCTCATTCCTACCAAAATTGGTTTTCTTTACCACCAGACCAGTGGTTTCAACCCAGACGGCATGGAAAAGCATTGATCCAGTGAACAGAAGGTCCAGGTCTAAGTCCTAGCTCTCTATTTACTAAATGCATGACAATGAACAAGAAACTTTATAAATCTAGGCCTAAGGCTCCTCATCTGCAAAAGCAAGGGCCCTGGTGGTCACTTAGGTTGAACCCTTCCTTGCATCAAGACCTACCCTATGAGACTCTGCAAAGAGATTGCTTTCAATCTTGTTAGTATCAAAGGACACTCTAGCCACAGATAGAGATGAAGAGGAGGGAAAAAACCCTGTTTTTCCCTTTCCTCTCAGGCTTCACACTGTTAGATATGCTCTTTCACTCACAGCTCTGAAGCAAATGCTTCAGAAAAAAAAACAGTAGTCCTGGTTTGACAATTTTATACATGAAAAATAACTAAAGTTTTTATTTAATAAGTTCAACATGAGTCAGCAGAGTGATGTGACTGCTGAAGGCTCTGGTATCGAATCAGATGCTGTGCAGGGTCTAGACCTAAGAAGCTGAAGGCTCTGGTATCAAATCAGCTGATGTGCAGGGTCTAGAACTAAGAAGCTGGTGATCCTGTTCAACTCTGCTGGTCATACCACACCTGCCAGTCTGCGTCCAACTCTAAGAGCTATGATCTAAGAAAGACATTAACAGAAATGTTTACAGGAAGGAGACTAAGAGGAGGAAGAGGCTGAAAAACATGTTTTCTTCAAAGAACCTATTAACCTGGAAAAGAAGACTCAGGGGAGAATCCATCTTACTTCCATCCAATGTTTGAATCATCCAGGACTCAGCAGAGCTGAGACCTAGTGGAGAGTGAGGGAAGGAAGGGGCTGCCTCAAAAGGTCAGTAAGCTCCCTATCTCAGGAGAAGCCGCAGAAACTGGGGCAGGTAGTGAGGAGACGAGTAGGGATAGGATAGAATCTATTTAGCATTCTAATGAAGAGCAGCTCCAACTCTATTTGGAGCATCTTCTCCCTTTCCCAACATGGTGACTAGATTCAGTCTATTAAGTGACTATATGTAGAACCATTTTAATAATATGCTCTTTACAAAGCATTTTATACTCATGTACTTTTAAGGCCAAATTGCTGCCCATCTTCTTCTGTCTTCTCTAAACCTTCCAGCAACTAGGATTGATAACCAAACTGCCTATTACCTTCTGAAGACTTCCATGCCTTCCACAGGTCCTCCACACTGATGAGCTTATCCTCACCATGGAAGGTGCTGTGTTTCACTGTCGGGTCATGGTAATTGAGGTCTTCCCTCAGGAACTGCAAGGGAAAAGCACACAAGTCACAAGGGATACCTAGGAGCCAGCCCATTGAGATCTCTCCACGCAGGCCATCTAACTTTCCACAGCACATTCCATCCACCCAATGTACAAGTGTGTCACATCACTCTTCTGTCCTTCCACGTGCATATGTCCTAGCTGCCAACTAGACTGCCTCTTCTTCTTTGTTGTATTTTCCACTTGAAAAAAAAGAATAAGAAAGTCCTTCCTCATATTTTTTAAATTATGGAAAGATAATAAATGATTGTTAACTGGAATTCAATAAGCTAGAAGAAGGAAGAAGCATAGGGAAAAAGAATTAACAATTTTTTGATCACTTGTTTATATACTAAGCAGTATTCCAAGAACTTCCACAATATTTTCTCATCTAATCCTTACAACCAATGAATCATTACACCTATTTTACAAATGAGAACAGCATCACTCTAAGATAATGCAACTTGCCCCAAATCACATTAAATTTAGAGAGATTTAATTACTTGCTATGATGTTTTTAAAATATGTCCACAATTCTATGATAATCCTCCCACAAAGGTGAATTCCTCTCCCCCTGAATATAGGCTGACATCTGTGACTCAACTTCCAACCAAGAGAATATGGCAGCAGCGATGTCAAGTGGCTTCCAAGAGTAGGTTAGAAAAGGCAATACAGATTCTCCCTGGCCCTCTCTGTTTTGGGACACATGCCTTGACAGCCCAGAGCCAACATACATGAAGCCTGGCTATCCAAAAGCCACCATTCTGGGGAGATCATATGGAAAAACTATGCAGAAATATAGACAGGTATCTGAGCAGCCCCAGCTGTTTGTCTCCCCAGCCCAAGAATCAGACAGGTGAGTGACTGAGACCTCAGGTGATTCCAGCCCCCAGCTTTTGAGTCACTGCATCTGATGCCAACTGGACAGAGATGAGCTGTCCCTGCTGAGCGATGCCCAGATTGCAGATAAATAACAAAATAAATGTTGCTGTTTGAAGCCACTGAGTTTTGGGGAAGTTTGTTATACAGCATTAGGTAACTCAAACATTTGCTCAAGTGATGAATTTGTATTCCACCCCAAGATATCTGACATTATAGTCCAAAATTTTCCCCAGCACTGTATATGTTGTCCTTTAAAATCCTAGTATTTCTTTTAATAATATACACCCTTATAAGAAAGAAGGAAAGCAAAAACAAATCAAAACTTTCAGAAATTTAACTGGTAATTAACTTCACAGATACTCATTCAGCCAGATTCTCAATCTCATCAGTATGTATAAGATTGAACACTGATCACGGCTTTCCCTAGAGCCTCAAACATCAAAGAAATATGCAATTCTGATCACTGTGTTTTTAAAACATAGTTTAGCAGGATTTTCAGGAACTGTCTCTTATCCATCTTTTCTCACCCTTGGGGTCCAGAAAAGGGTCTGACTTGGTATAACATCAGTAAATGTTACTGACTAAACAAACAGACGACTGACAGCATGGACCCACAATCAAGAGGTGATTTCCTCCCCCTAGGTTTTGTGGATATTGAAACATCTGAGTCTTAATGACTCAGGAGAGAAGTTTGAAGGGAGTTCACACTGGAGCACTCTCAACTGAGTCAGAGTATAGCCTGCTGGGCATGAGGAACTTGGCAGTGTCCACAACTATAGCATAGCACTGTCCAGTACAACTTTCTGCAATAATGGAAATGTTCAAATATCTGTCCTGTCCAAACAGTCCCCACTAGGCACATGTGGCTACTGGGCACTCATAATGTGGCTAGTGTGGCAAAATTTTTAAAAAATAAAATAAAAGCAAAAAACAAAAACAAAAAAACCCCCTGAGATTTAAAAAAAATTAATGCGGAGCTAAATGACCACCTGTGGCTAATGGCTACTTATCTACTGGGGTGCAGCTCTAATCCATTCTTCTACCTGTGGTTTGGGTGTGGCCTGGCTACACTTCCAAAGGGGTTGGAGTGGTATTAGGAAGTCAAGACCTCTGGTGAGATTAGGAGGTAAAAGCAGTGCTCACCTGCACAGGCTGGACAGCCCTTCGTGCCCTCCAGCCATAACTAAATTACACTGACACCAAAGGTTAGTTTCCCCAGCTCCCCAACCTCTCATTTGTAATTGTGAGAAAATTTATTTTTTAATAAGGACTACATGGGTGACATGGTAAAGAGCCCAGAACAAAGAGATTGTGGGTTTTTTTAAATTTTTAAAAAAAATTTTTGAGAATTAGAGAGAGACAGTATGAGCAGGGGAGTCAGAGAGAGAGATACACACAGAATGTGAAACAGGCTCCAGGCTCTGAGCTAGCTGTCAGCACAGAGCCCAACATGGGGCTCGAACCTACCAACCATGAGATCATGACCTGAGCTGAAGTCGGACGCTTAACTTACTGAGCCACCCAGGCATCCCCAAAGAGATTTTGTTGATTCTTAGAAAAACTAAACTAATTAAAGTATTTTTTTTAATTTTTAAAGTCATTCTTTTAAGCCATCTGACCTTTGATATGCTGTAAGTTGTGCATTTTAACAATTTTTTGCAAGTTGCCACACTGTTATCACAGCCCTATTCATTGAATTATCTTTTATTCATTTTGAAAAGTGCTATTTATTAATAATTAAGTCTTTACATATGGTTGAGTATATTTCTAGGCTCTGCATTCTTCTGTACTACATGATATTTCTTTTTTTTTAACTGTTTTTTTCAGTCTATTTATTTTATTTTTGAGAGAGAGTGAGAGAGAGAGTAAGTGCCATGCATGTGCACAGGTGGGGGAGGGGCAAAGAGAGAGACAGGGAGGCATAGAATCCAAAGCAATCCAGGCTCTGAGCTGTCAGTGTAGAGACCAACTCGGGGCTCAATCCCACCAACTGTGAGATCATGATCTGAGCTGAAGTTGGACACTTAACTGACTGAGTCACTCAGGCACCCCGATATTTCTATTTTTGTGCTAGCCCTTGACTGTTTTATTATGCTTTTTATTTTATTTTGTACTTTAATAGTAATTTCTAATGCTGGGACCCCTTCTTTCCCATGGCTCTTATGTTTCAGAATATTTCTTGTCAGTCTCAGTTGTTTGTTTTTCAAAATTACTTTTAGAACAATTCTGTTAACTTATTAAGACTCTGATTGGTCTCTTGGGGCACCTGGGTGGCTTAGTCGGTTAGGCGTCCGACTTTCGCTTAGTCATGATCTCGCAGTTCGTGGGTTCGAGCCCCCCATCGGGCTCTGTGCTGACTGCCAGCTCAGAGCCTGGAGCCTGTTTCAGTCTGTGACTCCCTCTCTCTCTGACCCTCCCCTGCTCATGCTGTCTCTCTCTCTCTCTCTCCTAGAAATAAATAAAACATTAAAAAAAATTAAAAAAAAAAGAATCTGATTGCTCTCACTGGAGGTCTAAGTGATGAGATCACTAGGCCTTAAACAACAGACACTGGGACATCTCAGGGGGGACACAGTCACAAGTAGTCAGACAGCCAGTCTGGGGACAGAAATTCATTAATTCACTTGGTCAACAAACATAAAATTTCTAAGTACCAGGCATAGTTCCAGGCACTAGAAATGCAGTGAGGAGTAAACAAAACAGATACAGATCTTTATCCTCACTGAGCTAATATCCTCTTTGGGTAAGAGAAACAGTAATTCCTATAAAGCAGGAAAGAGGAATAGGGAATACCATGAGCAGTGGTATTGGTGGTTTGTCATTTCAGAGGAGTCAAGGAAGGTTTCAGTAAGGAGGTAACTTAAGCATGTACCTGAAGGAGATGTTGGAGAAAGGCAAGCAGAATAACTAGGACAAGAGTGTCCCAAGAATAGCAAATGGCAAATGCAAAGGCCTTGAGGTGAGAACATGCTCAGTATGTTCAAGGAACAGCGAGGAGGCCAGTGTGACTGAAGAGAAATCAGACAGGTGGTGACTAGCGGGAGATGAACTCACGAAGAATCAGGGGTCCAGATCATAAACACCCTATAGGCCATTATATGGGCATGGACTTCGACTCTGAGAGGGGAGCTGTTGGGAACTTTGAACAGAGATTGATTGCTCCAAATGCTGTGCTGGAGAGCAGACTATAGGAAGACAAGGGCAGGGAAATCAGTCAGGTGGCTACTGCAAAAATCTAGCTTGAAATGAGGTAGTAACGTGTGTGTAATGAAAAGTTGCCAGATTTCACAAATATTTTAAAGAAATCAAATCTGTAATCCTCAAATCACAGATACTGTTGTATCTGTGTTGGTCCTCCAAGGCTCTAAACCAGACCCTCTTAATCTAAAACTACAGAAACACACATCATGCGCATGCCTTAGGAGCAGAAATGTCTAAATCTCCAGGGAAGGGGATTTTCTGCCATTCCCAGCTAATTCTAGAAACCCCCTGATGACATGTACCAGCTGTTTACTGGGAACCAATAAGAAATAGACTGCTTTTTATAGCCAAGTCTGATCACCGAGGTATATGGAGAACAGAGAAGCTCATGGGAAGAAATATAAGGAGGATATGCAGGTACAGGGCTCACGTACAGGCTCTACTGGTGCCACAAACCGTGCAATGAAGGAATGGGGTCAGAAAACTAGACCTGCAAGAAGATGGTACCAAATGAGGGCTATATGCTGACAGAAGTTCTGCCTGAAGGATATTGAGCGGAACAATCAGGCCTCAAGAGTAGGAAACGCATGGACGCCTGAGTGGCTCAGTTGGTTAAGCATCTGACTCATTTTGGCTCAGGTCATAATCCCACAGTCATGGGATTGAGCCCAGAGTCAGGCTCCACACTGAGCATGGAGCCTGCTTAATGCTTTCTCTCTCTCTTCCTCTGCCTCTCTCCTACTCCCATGCACACTCTCTAAAACAAGTAGAAAAGAGTGGGTAAGGCAGTATACTATAAACAGAAAGAGTTCACAACCTATAGAAACAGACCCTTACTTCCTGTGTGACTTTTGGGCAAGCAATTTAGCCTGTCTGAGCATGTTTCCCACTCAGAACGAGTGAGGACTAGGCCTCCCTCTC